TTTGAGATGTGTGCACTTGTGCGCGTCGCCACTGTGTGTGTGTGTGTGTGTGTGTGTGTGTGTGTGTGTGTGGACACAGAATCTTCATCAGACTCTGGGCACACTGGACAGCGTGTTGCTGGAGTCCTACAAAGTGTTGTCTTGCGGGTGGCATCCCAGTGTGCGTGTGTCATCACATTGCGTCTGCAATCAAATCTCTTGTGGGGAGAGATAACCTGACTTTGACTTGGACAGACGAGTCCTTTCATCACACTTAAAACTGGGGGTGTGCATACGCACACACATACAGAGATGCACGCGCACGCATGCACAAACGGCATGCTAAAATAATGAAAGGCGGTCGGTAATGGAATTGCCGCATGCAAAAACAAAAGCTTGCAGTTGCCGAGCGGTTCATCTGATTTGGAAGCCGTTCAGGCTGTCAGCATTTTAAGGCGAAGAGATGAAAGTGGAGCACACAAATGTTAAAACACACCAACTCATTTGCATCTTCCGTGTGAATTCATCGACATCCCTGCAAACATGTTTTATGAATCTATTCAAATAAATACAAACCACTACAAATGCATGCGCATTTATGCTTGTGACTTACACCTGCACGTACCGTACATCTACTCAATGCTAACAGACTGTGCACGTTAACGCACTTAGGCACACAAACTGTCATGTACAATAAGTCATCAGTTCAGAGACGCTTGGGACTTATGAGTGTAGGTGATTAGGTGGTCAAATGCTGATGAGAATATTATGAATGAATGTCAGGAACAATTATTCCTCATGCAACCTTGATATTCATTTAACAAGTGACACGGCGAGGTGATACAGGACACCCACACACCCACAAAGTTGCGCACGCACATACATAGCCAGCTGCATATGGGCAGGGTCATGTTGAGTTAGGTAGCTCATTTCCCAAAGTGCGTGTAGGGTGTGCTTTGTGCTTGAAGTCATTTACAGATTGAATAGCCTGATGTAATCTGGAGATGGTGAAGACAGCGCAAACCCTCGGCTGACACAGACCACAGGGGCTAAGGCCAGTACAGTCTCAGTGTGTGCGTGTGTGTGCGCTTATGTGTATTTGAGCAAGAGAGCGCCAAATGATAATGTGGGGAGTGAGGTGTGTGAGCATCGTGCTATTATTATATTCAAAAGAAGGCACTGGGAGAGTGCTTTTTAGCTGACAGCACAAGGCTGTCCTTTCAACTCCAAAGCGCCAGTGCCATGACTTCAGCATGCAGGTCGAAGAGCCAAGAGGGAAACTATCTGGCTGATTTTCATGTTTAAATGTTAAACAGATAAACTGCCCGAAAACAAAAGTGTCATGGTTACTTATTCATTTGACCCCATTCTGCAATCACTGCCTATGATATGCATTATTTTTATTTATTTTTTATACACGTTTGTTCAACCATAGGACCAATCTGAAGCAGTGAATTGTGCACTGCAGAAAAGTCTGGAACAAGAGACCATTTAGAGAATTAAGGGAAGCACGATGGTCCAAATCCTCTCTTTTGTCAAGGTCAATTGGTAACCAGGAAGCGGACTGCCTGCCTGTCCAATTAGCATCAACCAGGAAGAACATTTTCCTTCTTGGATGTGTGACCCCTAAAGCTTTGCAGCTGGAGAGATGACAGGGGTGGTTCTGGAATAATGACAAGCATTAGCATTTTTTGGCTGTTAGCATTAGTGCGAGGCTGTGCGTGAAAGTGTGTGCAGGATAAGTGTGTACGGTATGTGTGCATGCAGTGTTAGTGTCTGTATGTTTTCTTGATAGGCCTTGATGTGGGATTATCCAGAGCTGGAATTTAACGCTGGCCCCTCCTTCAAAATGGCCGACAGGAAGGAAGCCGTCTTCGACAGGGTCACAGCCCCGCCCATTTTGTGAAGGGGACCTTGAGTTGAATGTTTTGCTTTCTCATTAAATCCCAAGAAGGAAAGTCAGAGGAATGAGTGTGACATTGCTTTGACTTTTCAACACTGTCAATCTTGCAGAGACTGGATAGATCCACAATTAGACTGTCCTATTTTGTGTGCTCGACAGTTGAAGACACCAATACAGTTCATGAAGGTCAAATCAAACTCGAGATCACCTGTAGTGACTCCGGTCCCAACACTTTGACCGTCGGCGGAGTCACACCAGCAGGTCTGGAAGGTCTGGTGGTGATACCGACCCAATTTCCTGCAAGTATGAATTTACACGACTTGAGTTTGACAGCGGGAGCCATTACATTCTTAGGTATGGAAGGCCAGTATTTGCAGTCTTACCTGTTGAACTGCCAGCCTGATTTTGGAGAACAAGTCTATAGTGATAACTTGTCCATGGACTAAGTGCTGATGAGGAGTCCAAAAAAGAAAGAGGAAGAGGGTCTGGAGGAAGATGGCCTACTGTGGAGATTTGGTCTGTCCCAGCAACTCTGCGTTCAATCAGCCACCTATGCCAAGATGCACACCAGGAAAAAGACCCACAAGTACTATATCTATAACCGGGAATACACTCTCCGATTGAATAAGTGTTCCTTTTTAAAATCCATCTCATATAGTATGAATAAATTGCTTGAGACAGACAGAAAGTCAAAGCCAATGACTGAAGCGGTCACTTTGTACGGAACAACGTAGTGCCACTACTTGACTTCTCAGGCTGTATGTTCGCGCCATTAATATTCCATTTAAATCCTGTAGTGTGGTTTCAATCTGTGATGGACTGTTGAGACAAACATTTCTCTGTGGACTCAGAATGCAATATTGACAAGGAAATGTGATTCCCCTATGATTTGTGCCTGAATGCGGTCTTGGGAAAAACGCTCGGTCTTTAATAAATCTAATCGTAACACTTGTCGAACTACATTTTTTTGAGGCATCAAAAATTCAGCCAACGACCGTACAGTCAACAGTCAAGAGCTAGCAAATGCTCATGGCTCCCTCATGCATGACGTGCATCTTCGCAGAGTGTACCCTAGCTTTACATAGGAACGGGGTCAACAGGAAATGATCGTATCTTACCTCTCTAAAAGTCCATTGGGGCTTTGTGGTGCACCCCAGGACAGGAGAACCGAGGTAGGGGTGTCAGAATAAAGGTGAGGTGCCGGGAGGCCCTCAGGAGGAGCCGGCAACGTTCGAAAGTGCACCGTTTTGGACAGTGAGCAACCAACACTGGTGCATGCTTCCAGCTAGACGATTGGGGAATGATCAATTCGCCACGTTGAACAACAGTACATGTTCTACCATAGTCACGGAGGACCGTTATTTACCTCGAAGTGGTAGGTGTGGTATGGCAGAAGGCGAAGGAAGGTGTAGCTTGTGGTGTTTCCTGAAACACTGACTGATGGAGGGGATGGACTGAAACCTGTGAGTGAGTTTGATGAACTGGTGGAGTGGATGGCATCTTGATTGATGAAATGTTCAATATTCGGTCTGCTTGAAGTGTGTCCTTTGTGTGACACTGCAGGGTTTTGGTCTATTCCTGAGACGCCAGTGGCTTCACTAGATTGTAATAATTTGGAACCGGTGACTTGGCTGCTAACATCCGCATGTGTGGACTTTGGAGTCTGGTTGCCCTTTGATAGGTGACGGTCTGATCCAAGCATGGCGACAATTGATGCGGACCTTGAGTTTTGACTTGAGTAAAGATTGTCCTTTTCAGCACTAGGGTTAGAACTAAAGCTTGAGTTGGGGTCCATTTTGGTGCCAGGTTTGTAAAATAAATCAGACACAGAGGCAGGTTGTAGATAGAGGATGTAACTTCTTATAATGCCATTTGGTTGTGGGGGTGGGAGCCAAGAGATTGTCACATTTCGAGAATGTAGCCGTGAAACAGTCGGAGGGTCAAGTGGACCTGGACCTGTTGGGAAAATTGAGACAAAAATAAAGGGACATATTAAGAAACTTGACAGTTAGGCTACTGCATAAATCAGAGGTGGGCATTTACAACTGTTTTCACCTGATTTATCAGCATCGACGGATGGTTCGTGATTGACGGACTCCTGTGTTTGCCGGCGTACTGACGAGTAACTTTTCAACACTGACGGAATAATCACCAATGGGAGCGAATTTGGGCCGTTCCCACAAACGCGAAAAGCAAAGACGAAGGGCAGTTTGGGGATGAGAAGCAGGAGGAGGAGCAATAATAATACAAGAAATGAGTTATTATTATTATTATTATTATTATTATTTTGTTTTGTTTTGTTTTGTTTTGTTTTGTTTTGTTTTGTTTTGTTTTGTTTTGTTTTGTTTTGTTTTGTTTTGTTTTGTTTTGTTTTGTTTTGTTTTGTTTTGTTTTGTTTTGTTTTGTTTTGTTTTGTTTTGTTTTGTTTTGTTTTGTTTTGTCGTGCAGGTGGAGACATCACGGCGAGGAGCGTCCAGGCACTTAACGCTGATCTGTCCGTGGATTCATGACGCGGTTGAATGGCATTATATTTTCATACTGGTGAGCCTGTTGCACCATCGTCAATATGCAACACAGGTGGCTGCAGCGGCGTTTACGCAACAGATTCATTCCTTCTAAAGGCCATTTTACGGGGGTCGAACACAAATGAAAACACTTGCATGCTTCTTGCACTTCATCGTCTCTAACAATCACGTTGCCCCATGCGCTCACAGTTTTTTTGCCCATCCAGAATACAACAATGGACTAGCTTGGATGTGGTTTGCCTTTGATTCAGGAGGGGGTTGGGGACATGTTGCAAAAAGTACAACCCGTCAAGCACACAATGTCTCGCCAGTCCTCAGGCAAACAACATGCATGCTCGCATTTCTACTCGACGTCATCATCATTCTCAGTTATTATTTTTATTATTATTTGTTTATTATTATTATTATTATTATTATTAATTATTATTAATTATTATTATTATCATCATTATGTGTAAAGTGGTCCAAACTGTTGTGTGCTATTACACTTGTTACTGCTGATCTTAAAGTGGCAGTGACGAAATTTAATTTAGCGATGAAGGAAGCATATTAAAAATAATGACGGACTGACGCACTGATAACGACGGTAAATGAAGTTCACTGAGGTGCCCACCACTGGGATCACAGTCTCAGAAAACCTGAAGGCTTCTCTTCCAATTCCAACACAAGCGATTGACATTTAAAGACAGAAAACTGTCATATAATTTTGCAACTCAGTCATCGGAATTAAATGAAAAGCAAAAATAAATACTTTGGGCTTTACTTAGTACACAATGCATGGGCACTTAGCGGAAAAAACTGTTGCATTTGATTTTCATGCCAGGGCAAGTCTAGTTTACCAGTTTGGAAATTTGGTAGACTTGGACCATGCTGGGTGTTCTGATTGAGGCCATTTTCTTGTCCAGGCCCCTAACGCACCTGATAATTTGATCACTGAAAGTCGACTAGACCGACTCTGAGTAGGTCCACGTTGTGGTGCGGGTGACTGAAGACTATGTTTTGTCATGTTCTAAATCTACATTGAATCTTACTGATGCATAGAGGCAAAATTTATCCAGTAAGTGCAACTGTCTTGCATACTGGATGTCTGACAGAAGACTTGTGAAAGTGATATGCAATTTCTGCCGTAGGGCCTGCCCCACTCCTCCGCCGGCATTTACATGCCACTGAACTGCCCCGTAATGTAGACACCTCCAACTGCAACACACTCACATGCTTCCACACACACATAGTGATGCAGGAGAGCAGTAATGGGGCTGTGTGAAGGGCAAGTGAATCAAGGTGACTGAGCGAACTGGGGAAGCGTGCTGCGCCACTAAGTGCTACCGCTAACGACTTTCCCAGATGCAGATGCCTGTGTGCGTTTATATGTGCATAGAAGAGCGAATGTAAAAGAAGATGAGCAGTTGAGAATACACCTGTACAACTGGTTGAGGGATGAAGCGTACAAGCATGCATGAGTCTGGATATGCCATCGGTTGCCTGAGTGTTTTGTACACAGCCATGCAAGTGCGTGCGCACACAAATTTGATGCAGTTTGTCGGTATGTCCCGATTTTCGTTCATCTGAAATGAACCTTAATGACCTTGATTCCTTTTTTTCCTTAGCTCTGAATATCCTTATTCATCAGAGTTGGTACCTGAAGGGACTTATGGAAGGAAACTTTGATGTTGTAAAGTACAACTGCGTTGAAGTATAAAAACACTTGAACCAGAGGTTAAAGCCGTTAAATAGCTTTGGAAGAAAAAAAAAAAGGTCCCGTAAGGTCGCACTGCTTTTTGCAGTAGTTAAGCATGTATGCATTAATTGAACGTAACTCACACTTGGAAAATATTCTTAGTGTATTACAATGATTTACACACACAGTGCAGTCGAACATTTGAGGTCAAACAATTTCCTCCAGATTGTTTAGGTTTTGAAAAATGTTTCCATCAGAGAGAATGGAAATATCGAGAATCTCTTTTTGGGCAAATCTGTGACTATCATAAAATCTTCATGACTGAACAAGCAAGTTTTCAAGTCCCATTCGAAACATTCTTGAAAAACAGTCACACGAGTGTAAGGATGAGTTAACCTATGTTAAAACAACTTAATTTGGAAATTGGTCAAAAGGGGACAATGCACATTGTAACTTTGAAGTTTTATGACTTAATATGCACGTTACCGAACTTAACATGTCCCCATTGGACAGTCTGCACTTTTTAAGACCCCAAGGTGAGGCCACTCTTTCTTTTGGTCAACTTCATCACCGTTCAACCTCAGACGTTTCACTGTATAAGAGGTGTGTTCCAGGATTGGTGTAACAAAAGATACTACTACAACCCACAAATGTTCCCTTTGGAAATAATCCCACTTGAGCCAAACGCACTTTTCCCAGTCTTCTATGCCATGTATTCATGCATTCCTGGAAGGATCCTCCACAGTGCCATCATGACAGCAATCATGATGTCATCCACACCTTCAAAACGGGTCCCCTTAATGACCTTCCTCAAGCTTCGTCTTTGTAGACATACTGGTTGATCGTCCGGCCCACACTGAAGGGGAAAACTCATAGTTTGGGTTTGAAATACAGAGGCCAGTCTTGGAAGTTTTCTGACAGTTGTCAATAATGCAAAAACTCTTGAATGTACTCGCTTTCCCTCTCCGTCTCTCTACCCACGTCCCCATTTCCCTCTGCTCTCCCTGCTAAATAAACAATACAGCGAGTTGACCTTTTGGGTTAACAGGTTTTTATGCGAGCTCTACTCAGCACTCACACTGATTCAATTACCACCAAAGGTCCAGTGAACCCCACGAATAAGCAAGAGCCCGTCTCGCTGTCTGTCTTCTGGGCGCACGTCTGCCTGCGTGTTCCGTTGCCTGACTTACAGTTCCATCCTGACAGGTCAGGGTGCTTCTTTACTGTGTGGATGATTAGATGTCTCTCTGTCTGGATGAATAACTGTAAGTGGATCAGTCAGTCTACGAAAAGTAGGGAGAGATGTATGTTCCTTTTACGCTGACATTTCTCTGGTGTTTACAGTACGTGTACATTTTTAGTCCTCAATTTCAGCACTCAATCATCTATTTCAAGTCATCAATCTAAACGTTCAGGCCAGTACTCTCACTGCAGAGTCTTTCAAACCATAATGCATCAGTCAGTCACCTTGATCAATCGTTGCCCACACACAAAGTAACCCTTGTCGTCACCATCCACCCCATTCCGTTTCCTCAACCCTCCCCCCCAGGTGTTGAGTGTTATTTAAGCTTTACTGGCGCGTGTAAAATTCTGCAATTTGAAGGGCTGTTAAGTTTTTCAATTGAAATTTTCATTTAAGATGCAGGTGATGCTTTTTTCCCTTTTTTATTTTATTTTTTATTTTACTGACACTTTACTGCGCTCAGGATGGAGGGAAAGGGGCATTAAGGGAATGCATGGTAAGCCCCCCCACACGCATTGTCAAGACTTCCTTGTCTTGTTTTCCTCTGACCGTCTCCATCCTCGTACCTCGACAAGCCTTTCCTTCTTCCTCCCCCTCTCTCTGCACCCTGCCTTACACCTCCCCTTTTCAGTAAAACATGGTAGCAGAAAGCTAAAGCGGGAACGTGGGGGCCACCAAGCCCTAAATCACATTTATAAGGATTTGGTTAGCATAGTAATAACACAATCAAGTGACAAGAGGCGAGGAAAGGGGGAGGGGGGGATGGTTGCAGAGGGTCTGCATGTACTCTGTGTGTGTGCATTGAGATACCTTTCAGGCTTATGTGCATATTTCATGTTAAATTAGTTTTCGTCTTTTTAAATATGAAACAATATCATGAGAATAGAAACCCTTTGGCCTTTGCTGTGTGCACAGAAGGTTTTTGGGGCACGCGGGTGTGGGTGACAGGTCTTCTGAAGGTGAATGGAGCTGCTAAAAGTCAGAATGAAAGCTGAGCTTAAGCGTTATCGGCACGCTTACGAAGCCGTGTCAAACCATGACAAGCGACGGTGTGACAATTTACATTGCATTTCATATCTTTACTTCCTAATGTCGACGTTGCTCGAGGAGATGCCAAGACGAGACGGAAAGAGGATCCGGCGAGAGGGCCCGTGATGCGTTTCCAAGGTCACAAGCTTGATTTGTATCCCTCACATCGGAAGTACACCTAATGGGCATTATATCCTTTGAAGAACCGCGACTGAGCAAGTAACTCAGGGTTGTCAGTCATTCAAATTTGTTTCAATGGAACCTCCAGCTGCTGACATTTGGGAGGGATTTATAGAAATCCCGCTAACCTTCAGACCAATCTATGGGATATAAAAGAGGAACCAAACATTTGAAAATCATATATGGCATTCGAATCAAATGTGTGTCTTAGCCAAGGTATAAAATCATTTAAATCAGTGAGTATTAGTGGCCACATTTCTACAGGTGATTGCTAGAGATTCTCTGAAGCATTCAAAGTAGAAAAAAAACTATATTTTTTTTTTGGGGGGGGGGGCGGGGGCTTTTTAACCATCCTAAAATAATCCATCCATTTTTTTGATCCACTAATCCTCACAAGGTGTCTCGGGCTGCCCTATCCTAACTCATTCATGTTCATGTTAAAAGTTTACACAAAACACAATTTTAGCAACAGTTTTACAATAATCTTGAAAAATGGTTGAAAACGGCAGATAAAATAATTTCCTTACGATATTGATATAAAGCAAAACTGTTTCCCGAGTGAAGTGTTTATTGGATGAGGCACATGACTGCCTCTTCATTTGAGCAAATGGTTGACGTCGGGCAGAAGCCTCACATCTCCATAACCATTAATTTTGAGGAAAGCAGAACAAGAGCATGTGTGTTGAGCCATAAACGTTGCATTGTCAAAAAGAATCAACCATTTCCAACACTTTAGATTGGTTAAATAAATAAATATCCCCCTTGTGGGGACCGAACAAAACTATCGAGTTGTGGAAAAAAAAAAAACATGTTAAGTTGACCACATTATGAGCACAGCAATTCGGTCACATTACAGGACAAAAGGGTGTGCTGGCATGAGAGGTAAAATCCTTGATTAAAGCAGTCACTTAGTCATACATACGATGAATTCTTTGTGTTGTTTCAGTGCCTCTCACCTCATATGTGATGTTCCTTCGTTTCACTCTATGCTTTGAGTTCAATTTGGTGAAAGTGTGCCTTTTAAAATGGTCACTACATCACGCGCACACATGGACTGGATATGCATACTGTCAAATACTGCTAGGCTAAGAACATTTTGTCAAAAGTGTCTCTTGAACATGCTATAACACACACACTCACGCACGCACGCGCGCTCTGATGGGCGCACACTCCCTCAGATCACACCGCTGGTGTGAACATGCGAGTAGACAGGGGAAAGGGAGCTGTCCAACACGGCCAGAGTTCATGTTCACAGGAGCCGTCTGTCTGTTCTGCAGCAGCAGGAATTCATAGGGACCAAATTACATTAAAAAGATGGATATAAAACTTTAATGGAATGATAAAAAGGAAAGGAGGAAACGTGGGTCCCTCCATTTCTGTGTTCCGTCATTAGGCTTCTCCTTGCTTCCCTCCCCCATTTTGTCTCCCGTTCCTTGTTCTACCTTTCCCCTCTTTCTGTATTTCCCACTCCAATCTTCTCTTTATTTCTTATCTTACTCCCTCTATCCAGCCTGTCGCCACTTGTAAATAGTTAAAGGGCCAGTCAGTCAAACAGAAGAGGTGAAATTCAGTTGGGGAAAATAAGTCCGGAGTGAGGGAAAATAAGTCTGCAATACACAGTTTAAATTAATTGAAGAATTCAACCTATGGTGTTCCATACTGTATCGTACAGGATATCTTACAACAAATGGGTGCAGCAGGTCACAGCTCACAACCACGTTACATCGGGACACAGTTAAAGAAAATGGAAGTACTGAAGACCAAAAGCAAGTTTGAATGCCATCCATCCATTTTCTGATCTGCTTTATCCTCACAAGGGTCGCGGGGCATGCTGGAGCCTATCCCAGCTGTCTTCGGGCAGTAGGCGGGGGACACCCTGAACTGGTTGCCAGCCATGGCACACTTAGACAAACAACCATCTGCGCTCACACTCACACCAAGTGTTCAATCAGCCTACCATGCACGTTTTTGGAATGCGGGAGGAAACTAGAATACCCGGAAAAAACCCACGAAGGCACGGGGAGAACATGCAAACTCCACACAGGAAGGCCGCAGCCGAAATCAAACCTTGCACATCTCCATTGTGAGGCCGACGTGCTAACCAGTCGACCACCGGGCCACCCGAGTTTGAATGCCATAATTACTTCAAATTATGATTTTTAAAGAAGCCTATATTTGGCTTCAGAAATAACTGCATTTAAAAACGCATGCTCTACAGGGTTCAAGTCTGGGTGAGGATGTTTTATGACGACAGTGGACCACAGGCTCAAGGATTTCCATTGAATATTAAAGAATATTTATTTTATATTTTGTCAAATTTAATTGTTAAGGTGCCAGTGACATAAACATAGCTGTTTGTGACAGTTTGTGTGTTATGAATGTTACTTTGAATTCCGAGTCAAGGGAAACGGGGCCTTAAATTAATCTTTCCTAAAAGTCTGCACACACGTGGGTGTGTGTGAGCCTGAAAACATCAGTGTGTCAAAGTGCATTTGCGTTCACGTGAGCAACAACACAAGGATTTGTACAAACACATTTCTTGTGTTGTGTACATGCGTGTAGATCAAACGTATGCAAATCTCAGCAGCCTAATGATTATGTATGCCACAATAATGTGCCGCTAATTGATATATAACTTTTTCACTGAAGAGGCTGCAGCATTGGCTAATATGATTCTATTAGCCACAATTAGCGCACAATGACACTGGCTAGGTCACTCACGCACTGGCACACAGACGCATTCACACACACGCACGTGCGCACACTGACACACTGTACAGTGTGCAGGTCTCGCTCTTTCACACACTGTCAGGTTGTTTCAGTCTGCTCATATCAGGAGCAACTTCCTCATCTTTGGGTTTTCCCTGGAATGAGTTACTCATTGCAAAATAAAGTTTGTTGTTTACCATTATATGAATCCATGAGTGCCACACACATACTGTATGCCTTCTATGGAATGTGAGTGGCATAAGGATGACATTAAGGCAATCTGAGTGAATCCTTTAGAAAGTGGAATGATATCTGGCCTTTCTTCCTATTTAGTCTTTCATAATATCAATCCATCCATCCATCCATCCATTTTCTGATCCGCTTCATCCCCACAAGGGTCGCAGGGGGTGCTAGAGCCCATCCCAGCTGTCTTCAGGCAGTTGGCGGGGGACACCCTGAACCGGTTGCCAGCCAATCGCAGGGCACACAGAGATGAACAACCATCCGCGCTCACACTCATACCGAGGGACAATTTAGAGTGTTCAATGAGCCTGCCATGCATGTTTTTGGAATGTGGGAGGAAACCCACGCAGGCACAGGGAGAACATGTAACCTCAACACAGGAAGGCCGCAGCTAGAATCGAACCCAATACCTCTGCACTGTGAGGTCATTGTGCTAACCACTCGACCACCGGACCACCGAGTCTTTCATAATATTGGATCAACATTACAATCTAATATGTATCCATAATATTATTTCAAAAAACAGCGCTATTTCTTTATTAAGAACTTAAAAAGAAATTGGGGTCCTTTTAACCCACCCGTGACCCCACAAATTTGTGACTTCTTTATTGTTTCCCAATGTTTTCTTAATGGTTGACACACTGGAATTTATGGCCAAATGTGGACTGGACTTACTGTCCTCTGCTGTGTAGAAGGTTTCCCAGAGGCTTGTCGTCTGTCCATGTGTGTGTGACACCACAAGTCGGAATTGATACTTGGTGTATGGAGACAGGTCCGGCACGTAGTAGGAGAAAGTATCCATTGCGTTTTCCAGGAGCCTGAGTGGGAACAGGCACCACCACATACCATTAATAGCACACATTTCAATTAGGCCGTAATCAGCGTGGTTCAAAATATAACTCTGATAGCTTTGTTGGAAATGCAGGAAAGCCATTTTTTTTTACATGATCAAAACTTATAAAGATTTTGTTGATTCCCCCAACTTGAAATTTCACTCATTTGTTGCAATGGAATCTTGACTTCACTGAACTTTTAAAATTTTTTTTTTAATCTTAGTTTTTAGAATTGTGGAAGGGCTATCCCAAAAAGTTCCATGGTAATAATCACATTTTCATTCAAATCCATGGACATTTGTCAGCAGTGCACTTTGCAATCACCCTGGAAAATAAGTGAGGGATTAATTGCATGGACCATCCTCACAGCTATTAATCACATTCCCACATGCTACCTGCATGGGTTTCATGTCTTCATACTTGGTGAAGGGAAACTCGGGTAACGTTGTCATAAATGAGGGACCACTGGCCATTTAGCATTAGCTGGACAGAAGGGATGAATGAATGAATAAATCAGGGAACAATGAGATCTCTAAAGCAGAGGAAGAGGAGGGCATGCTTGTCTGATATATAATACATGTACCTAGTCATTTATTTATTACCACCGAATGAGAGCCTCCTCTTCTTGGATTAAATTGCAATTTGTTGTCAGGAAGCATGCGATGAATACATATCAGATGCACAGCCCCTCTCTCTTTATTCTGTCACATGTTCTGTACTTGTCTGTCTCCTTTTGCCCTCTTTGAGATTCGTTTTGTGGTGGATTTTGGTGTCAACCTCATCCCTCCAGCTCATTTAGGTCAAAATTCTGAGGGTCCATCATGTTGATGAGACTAATTTTTCTGTACTCTACAATGTATCCGTGCATATGTAGATGTGCACGGTTTTGTAAAGATAACTCGACATGCTTTTGTGACAGGTGTATGCTCATGGTCTTTGCTACAACTTGCCTTCTCATGGGTCTCTGGGGCGATGTCCTCATTTGAAGGCTGTAGTGAAGAGGACCCGGGGCGTTCGCATGAGCTGGTTCGGCCCAAGACACATTTAGACTCGTGCTTGTGGCGTGACCGAGGCTCAAGGCGGACAATCCGTCTGGAGCTGCAGAGAGAGAAATGATGATGGGTGGAAGAGGTGAAAAAGGAACAGGAGTGACAATGCGTGACACTACGGGAGGAAAAGACTGAAAACTCAAATGGATTCCTCAACTTTTGAACTAGCTAAATGTGCCTGATAAAGAGATAAATTTGTCTTTCGAACTTGGATTGCTCATTTAACATGCTGGTTTCACTCCTGAGCAATGATACTGAGGTGTCTTTGAGCAAGGCACTGTGCCTTTAACTGCATAGAGGGGCATGCCACCAATGAATACCTATTTTACTTCGGGCTTGGGGGGGGGGGGACTCATTTTTGTTTACCACAAAAATTGGTCAAAACAAATATGCATGCCTGCATGGTTATGACATCATCACTACAAAAGACGAACTGACAGCACAAGCTTCCTCTTTACTGAACAAACTCAGGCGCACCCAAGGTAGCGCAACTCTTCAGTAGCGACGCTCTTTTACTTCCGAGAGTGACAGAAGAGTGTTTGTGCCGTAAAATGACATCTTGAGCCAAGGCGATGGCCACCCTCTTAGAGAAAATGGAGGGGACGCGAGGAGGGACGGGAAGCAAATATGTTAAGGATGACACAAAGAGGGGAATGAGAACGCCGGTTGTTTTGACTGTGTAAAATAAGAGAGGCTCTCTGGATGCGAAGAAGTGACCCTTCAATCAAACACTCACGGTCTGGCGCGACGACAACCACACTGATTGCACCAAGTCATTTTAGCACAAGGATGGCTATTAGGCACACGCACCCGCACAC